AGTAGTAGTAGTAGTAGTAATAGCTATAGTATTAGTATGAGTAGTAGTATTAGTGTTAAGGATCAGAACTGCGCAGTCCTGCAGTCGCCTGCTCCTAGGCCCGGTCAGGGTTGAAACTTTAGAACCTCATTCCAGGACCCTACCTCTGGTCTTTCTGTAGTTTGACGGCAAGACCCCTTGTGTGAAGAACTCCTGAGGGCAGAAGCTTCACTAGCTGAAGCTTCAACTTAAGACTCCCTACAAGCTAAATTCTCCACCCTAGAACTCGATTCTCCAAGCTACATCGACCCTAAAACATCCTCGGGACTGCAAGGTGCGGGCTTCAACCTAAGTCCTATAGTCCCTAAACCCTTTTGAACCCAGACTCTGCCAATCAGCTGGCAAGCAGTCCCTAAACCCTGAAACCCTTGGTTTCTTCGGCCTGGCATGGCGGCACAGGGATTCCGGACCTCGGCATGCGAGGCCTGGGCGAGTGACACACGGCAGCTGCACTGGGCGCGTTTGCGGTGTCGGGCTTCTTGTTGAGAGTTTCGTCTCTCACTCTCGCACACAGCAGGGTTGAGGGTTTACGGCTTAGTACGCACTTAGGTTTGAGGGTTGAGGGCTTAGGGTTTTGGAACGGAAACGTGGGGCTTGAGGTCGCAATCGCAAACTGCGCAGCCGTCTCTTGCAATTGAGCCCAAGGATCCTCGTTCAGGACAGTCATTGGAGGCTACGCCGAACTCTAGGCAGTTACTACCTGCTATACAGAGCTGCCTACAAGAGAAAAGTCGTAAGAGTGAGGTGAACATGGATCCCTAGGGCCTATAGACAGGGGAACTTCATAAGGATTTAGGGTTGAGGGTTTAGGGCCGGGCTTACACCCTCAGACGCTGCCAGATAAGCTTCACGGTTAACAGGACAACAACAAGCTACAACCCGTTGCGCGAGCCCAAAGTCGTCGCTCGGGTTCCCGGTTTCAACACTAGTACTAATATCAGTATCAGTATAACGAATAGCATTAGAACTAGAATAACTAGAATTAATATTAGCATTACGAATAGCATTAGTTTTAGTATTTTTATTCGTATTGCGAATAGCATTAGTATCAGTTTTGGTATTAGCATTAGGGTGTTTGCTTATTTGCGAAAGTCTATGGAGCTTTCTTTCAACTTTCGGGGTTTCAAGACTCCTGGGCATCCTGTACCTGGGGCCTTCGTGGCACTGCCTGGAGCTTGCGGCAGTTCGGGGCTGCGCTGGTGATAGTACCAAGGTGTGGGCTTGAAGAAATCCAGCTTTCCCAGTAGCTTTCGGTGGTGTCACGTCGGGCGTGGCCTGGAAAAGTTACATGGGTGCTGGGCGCGAAGCATATGTAGCAGGAGCATCCAGCTCGCGCCGTCTCTTCCGTTGCATCTTTCTGCGGAAATGATGTCGCCGAAGGAGATCTAGCCCCTCCTGCTGTTGCAATGGCGGTATACTTGAACAACTATCACAGACAGTACCAACAGGACGATGGGCTCCCACTGCCATCGGCTCCCAGAAGCCGTCGCTTCCATCTCCTTTAAGCGCTTTTTTGCGACATCCTTGTACCGAGGCTCCTCCAGGTACCCCAAGCCGATGATCTCGTGCAGCTCGCTGGGGGCCGTCCGTTCCGCTGTACACCCGTAAAGCGCGATGTGCACCTGGACGCACGTCCACTTACTCTGCAGACGCTCCGCCAGCACCACCGCATCTTGCAAGCGGACGGTGCCATCGCGGACGATCATGCCGAAGACACCACCCAGTCCATGCCTCTGCATATGCTGCTGCGTTCCTTCGCCGTGCACATTGCTGTTTTTAGGGCAAGGGCGTCTCGTGCTAGTAACTCGAATGAGCGCGGCGTTCCCGGGTGCGCCTAGCTGGATCAGATCACCCACGCACCAGGTCGAAACACAGGGATCATCCACTGCCAGAGTGACATTCTGCCCGATGTCACATGGCTTCTCTGCGCTGCCAGCTTGTAGGGTTTTGTTGGTTGGGATGTTGCCGACTTCTCGCAGCTGCTGGGGATGTGAAAAAAGAATGTCTCGCTGTCGAGTTTGATGGCTAGGAGTGGCACGACAGTCGCCAACAATCCCATGTTCTGCAGACAATGTCAGAGACTCTACATCTGAACGAATGTAAAAACTCAGCACCGAAGATTCGCCACCATCCTCGACAGAGGGAAGCAGCTTCGCAGTCGTGCTGCATGAAAGCACTCTGACGCTTCCAATGCGTTCCGGCGGCATCTCTGGAGAAGCGCGTGACAAAAACCCGATATGGGGGTTTCCGACAATAGGGGACCCTAGTATAGTATCCTAAATAGTAAAATCCTTATTATCAGGACCCCCAAAATAAGGTACCCCTCATTTCCGGAAATCCCCATATCTGTCTCAGATCTTCAAGCGATGAGCCTTGGCCTCCTGGGACTTGCTTCGTATACACATGCCCTTCACCAGCCCTCGGAAGAATGCTGCGGAGAGACTCCGTCCTAACGGAATGGCTACTGAGAGCTCTGCTGGACATGAGAAGCTTTTTCGGCAGCCGGGGGTCCTGCTACCAGGACGGCCATGAGGCCCTCGGCTGCTCCGTGCCTGAGCCGTTTTGTTTGCGGGCCACGGGGGCTGTGCCATTCGTGCAGGGCATTGTGGAAAATGTGGCTCAGGAACAGGCTCGTCCATGGCCAGATGCTTGCACACCTGACATATCTGCACGCATCGAGATAGAGAGGGAGGGAGGGGAGATGCACCAGTATGGGGTACAAGTCAGGGCTCTTCCATTGCGGCCTCGGCTCGGGTATCCGCGGGCCACTCGCGGCACGCCAGCGTCTGAAGAATGGCTTCGGCCACCTTAGGCACCGTCGAACACGTGCTTCAAAAATTGTGTCTGCTTCCGTCTGTCCACAGGACGCAGAGGACATGTGCAGTATGAATCTGTTTGCTGGCTGCGCAAGCAAGGAGCCAAAGGAAAAGCGAGTTGTCAAGTTGATCTTCGGACTTCGCGGCCCATTGAGATTGATCTTCCTGGGGCTCCACCTGGCGTTTGTTTGGTTCAAGTAGGAGTACTGTCACTCGGTGATTGAACCCCTCCTGCACACCTTCGTGAACATCCACTGAAGTATGTCCCTAAACCCTAAACCCTAGACCCTAGACCCTAAATCCTAAACCCTAAACCGTACCTGCTATATAGGCAGACATCAGGGTGAAGCTCGAGTGTTCCCTCCCCTGACAGGTTGCTTTCTTGAGAACGCGCCAGACCTCCCAAGATGTCCGTCATGCGAAACGTGATGTAGGCCTTAATACTTAGAATAGGGTTTCTGGGGGCTCCTTCTTGTAGTTATAGGATGCTATACCCCAAACCCTATTCTAATTATTAAGGCCCCTATATTGCTTGTGTCACGGTGATGAACGTCAGAGCTGCAATGGTTGCGGGTAGAAGGTGTGGTGCCAAGCGAGTTAGCTCTATGAAACAAGCTTGTATGATGTGGTGTTGGGTGATGTATCTTTCTCTATCACGAGGTAGGGGCTTTAATGATTAGAATAGGGTTTTGAGGCCCATTATACTATAAGTATAACAAGGAGCCCCCAAAAGGGTTTAGGTAATTATTAAGGCCCCTATATTATCTTTTGGTAACATACCTCCGCTCCCGGGTCTCTCCGCGCATGCTGCGTTTGCAGGCTCAGGGCCTAACCTCTTCTGCACCCAGTGACTTACCTCGTTGCAGCAGGTCCTGTTCATTGCCACAGAACTTGAGAAGTAGCATCAACAGATGTTGCAATGATGTCCAGAAGTAATAGTACATGCAAGCGGGCAAGGCGACAATCTTCACAGATTTGCGGCGCGGCGAAAGCAGCAGCAGCGAGGGCCAACGCTTCTTTCTTCCCTTTTTGCTGCTACTTACTGCTAATTAGCAATAAAATCGGAAGAAAAAGAACAAGAGTCAGAAGGATTCGTGGAATCTACTCAGACATACGGACTTACTCCAACTTGATCTTGAGGCTTCTTCAGATCATCCTCCACCACTACGTGACTCAACGGCTACGACAACGACGACAACGACGAGGACCCGGACGGCTGTGATGGCGAGGACGGCTACTGCTGCTGCTGCCACCGATGCACCTTGCACACCTGACCCAACGATAGTTTTGCCATGTTTCGGCAATCAATACAGGAGCTTCATTCACAAGGTTGGTGTGGCAGGTGTTACTCTCTCTCTCTCCGAGCTAAGGAAAGCTCGAAATTGCATCAACCTGGCTATAAATGTCATTACCGGACTACACACCACCGCAGATCGAGAACTGTTGGTCCTCCGTAGCAGGTTCGGCGCAGAAGAACGCCACGGTGCGGACCTGATCAGGTAAGAGAACACAGGAATGTACCCTGCAAGCAAAAACGCTGCACCATAAAGCCTTAGAGGCCCAAAAAAAAGGTGATGTAGCTAAGTACTTTATAGCCCGCTTGGCTAACATAGGAAATCATGTCCACAAGAACCGCAATCCGCCCCTGCTCCGTACATTTCCACCATCATCGAGTGGTGAATTTCAGTGAACTATTAACGCCGATTCCTCAGCCCGCCCGTGGTGGCCCATGGATGCCCATGCCCAAAGCCTACACCCCCGACCCTTACACGGTCCGTGCGAGCTTCCAGAAATGCAACCGGCCGCAGCACAAACACTGCGGCGCCCGAAGCCCTTGGTATGCTTTGGCCGATCATGCGAGACCTGCACATCTTGTGAATCTACGATATAACCGCCGTGACATGCCCAGGACCCACGCAGCACAGCACAGGGAGGTCGCCCTACTTGACGGAATGAATAACCGGCGAAATCAGTTCGACTCTCTGCATGTTCCGCGTTCCATGAAGGTTCAGCAGCAACCGTGGAACCTGATGACAGGCAGCTGCAGCATCACCGAGTCTGGTAATGGGATGCCGAGACACACACACACACACACATGCACCACAACTATTTAAGCCTAGGGCCTAGCAACTTTAAACCCTGCCTCTCTGGCTCTCGTGACCGGCAGCACGCCCAAAATCGAAGCTACACCTAAACATCAAACGCTACAAGCCCTAAACCCTAAACAAAACCCCAAACTCCTTTTTTGCGAAACCTCTTAACCCTAAACCATATGAACCCTATACGACCCCAGCCCTAAACCCCAAACCCCCAAAACTTCGAAACCCCTACAGACCCAACCCGAAACCCTACAAACCCCGGCAGAGACCCTAAGCCCTTACTGCCCCACCTTGACCCACGACGCAGTGCGCATCCCTTTTTAACCCTTTTTGAACCCAGGCCCCTAAACCCTAAACCCTAAACCCCAAACAAGAAGCACTCGGGCCTCGATGGATTCCCGGGCCGGCCCGAGGGCCGATTCTTCGAAGGCGCAGTGGAAGGCGTGCTGGGCCCTCCTCCTGACTAGGGGGTTCAGGGGGGGTCTTGGGGTCAGGCACAAAAGTTCTACGGCCTACGGGTTTCAGGGTTCTAAGGGGGGTCTTGGGGTTAATTAGGCACAAAATGTCTACGGCCTACGGGTTTCAGGGTTTTGGGGTGTAAGGGTCTTAAGATTTTGGTGTTGTGGGGTTGGGGGATGCCAATCTCTAGGGCCTGCGGATGTTGAAACACGCACGAGGGCATGCCAGGGTAGGGCTGGTAGGGCAGTCTCACACGGTTAGAGACTTTCGGAGAAGAACCCTGCGTTTCGGATAGGCGCTTCGAGTTAGGGTTGGGAGGCTCTCGGTATTTCCTTCGGGCTTCGGGTATAAGGCATTGGGTAATTAATGGTGCGGCCTTCTGCGTCTTATGTTCTTACTGCTGTCGGATGCGAGGACTACGTAGTGTGGTTCCCTTGCCTCCTGCCTTGCTGGTTGCTCATGCTCCCACAGTTGCCCCCGCCCGTGGAGCCTACCTGCAAGGACGTGGGCTCGAAAGAAAATGAACAACATGCATCCGCCACAACAGCAACTTCTGGCTCGAAGGCTTCAGAACACAAATGCAGGACTGCCGGCACATTTGTGCCAGCAGAGTGTGCCCTCGTTTTGGCGTTGCAGATACAATACAAATCGGAAGAGGGCCAAAGAAGTCCCCGCCCTGCTCCCCGATGTAACTGCCGAGCATTTCGTGACCTTTGCAGCCTTCCGAACACCCCGCTGCCTGTCGGAGTCATACTGCTTGAAGAGCACCACCTCATCTTTGACCATACCTGGGACTGGCGCTTTGAAGGTAACACAGCGGAGCTAAGGTTCAGAATGCCATTCTTTAGCGGTCCAGGTTTAGGCCACAACACCCTTGTCACAACCCCAAGCCAAAAAAGCAGCTTGTTTTCAGTGCGGAACCTTGGGGTGGGTAACGGCGACGGCGACTGTGAGCGGGATTCGGGCAGATGATCACCCCGGGCCGCAGGCGTTGCTGATGCCGCATTACTGCGCTTGCGTTCTCAGTTTCAAACTTGGTATTCTGAATGCCTCGAGTGAGTCAGAGTCGACCGAGGACACGTCCGGCCTGCTACAACAATGGTGACACCTCCGACCCGAACGCACCAGAGTCTGCCAACTAACATATGCTCCAAGTACCAGATCAATGATTGAGGGTTCAGGGTTGCGATCCCTATGACATCGAAAAATCGCTGTGCGGTCCTTTTCTGCTTTCCCGCCGCTCTCCAGCCATGGTGCTCTTCGTACGGGGAGAATTACATCAGCCACTGGTTCTTGAGCAGAGGGGTGGGCTAGCCCAACCCAAAAATCTCATGTACAACTCACTGCTGCGTGGACTGAATCTGGTGTTGACCCACCTTGCCACCAGAAGAAGCACGATTGCTGCAGAAGCATGCTATATAATATAATATCAAGAGGAGGAGTAGGAGGTGGAGGAGCAAGCAGCAGCAGACGTGTCCTGCCTTGGGTCCCTCCTTACAGGCCAACACCTGAGAGCGTCTGCTTCACGAAAGCTGCCTGGCGCTCCTCACAAAGGCACAAAGGGACTGAAACAGAAAACATCACAACGACCCAGCGCAACCGGGTTCACAACGACACGGGCGGAGAGCACAAAGAAGACGATCAGCACCACCACCATCACTACGAATGACGACAACCAGAAGCACCAAGAAGAGGAGGAGCAGGACCACGCGGGCTCTCTGAAAGCGTTCACCACTCAAAGTGCTTCAAGAACCTAACAATTGCGGCAAGAACAGTGACTGTAGCAGGATATCGTCACCGCCGGTCACCATTACAACCTATCCCTATAAACCGGCATACATCACCATCATCAGCAACATCATCAGCGTGGCCACCATCCTACAGTTTCCGCAAGCAGGCGCAGCTAGCCGTAACAGTGATGACATCAACTAGAACATGACTCGGCGCACTGCACTTGTCTATGGCTAAGGCTGGGGACTGGGGCACGCTCTCGTTTACTCTTCACGGCCACTCTCATTATCACCGTGTTCCGGATGTTATCCCAACTAATTATTTTGACAAAGCGATGGGAACCCAACACTTTAAACCCGGAAACGAGCCTATAAACCCCATGAAGAGAATCGCAACTCAGGCCCTACAGCCGCGAAAGCTTTCCTTGATGGTGCTCTCAGCGCCCTGGATCTGCTCCTTCATCTGAGCCTCGGGCGTGTGCAAGCTCAACCGTCCTAAAGTCCTAAAGCTTTTATATTGGGTGGTTGTCAAAATTATGGTCTTTTTTTGGATCCTTATTATAATACGACACCTATTATTTAGGGTACCACAAAAGGGACCATAATCTTGACAACTACCCAACATGCATGATCCAGCACTTCAGTGCCCCCCCTGCCGCACCCACCCTCCTCGCCACACGAGCAACTACAGTCGTGCCGCGACTTCGTACCTCCCACTGCTCGCATGTTCGTCACGAGGATCACGCCCCCAACAGGCCCGATCTCCGACTGTTTCCAGTTTTGAACAGCTCAGCGCAGGATTTCTGTGACACTCAGCGCGCTTTGACCGGGCTGGGGTAGGGGTGAACCGTACCATGTGGAGCGCTGTGGCCTGGGGCCCGGGTCGTCTTCATAGAAAGATGTGTGCGTGTATATATATATA